TGACCTTACGTTATTATTACTACCTTACGTGCTTAGCATGACCTTACGTTATTACTTCCTTACACGCTTAGCATTTTGTGGTGAGAGCACTTCAAGTCCGCTCTCAGCGCCTTTCACAGATGATGATGATGATGATGATGATGATGATTATCTGCCATCACCGTGCTGTGCATGGATCTTTTGAATTTCCTGTCCTGTCTGGTGTCTTATGAACATCCCACAGTAGCCTGCGCCCCAAGCCTCTGACAGCCGCCGTGCTCTCTAGAGCCCACGTAGAAGAGATGTCATGTGATCTTTGTCTTTCTTTGCAGGGTTGACTCAACACCTTATCCTCCAGTTTTACCCTCATGTGATCAAAAATGGCAGAACTACTTTTTTTCTTTTTTGAAAATTAAATGTCTCATGCATGTGAGTGTGTGTGATTTTGTTTATCAGTCGAGCCATAGGCACACATTTAATTGACCCATGTCTTGGCTGTTATAAACAATGCTTCAGTAAACATGGAAGTACAGATGTCTTTTGGACATAATGGTTTCATACCCTGTAGTTATGTGCCCAGAAGTGGGATTGGTAGGTCTTCTGGTAGTTACATTTTTATGTTTTTGAGGAGCTTTGAAAGGAACTTTCTACACAGATTACCAACTGTACTGTGCCAGGATTCCTGTTGCTCTGTAGCTGTGTCAACACTTTGTTATCTCTTGCCTTTTTTTAAATTATTTTTATGTTTGTGCACAACATGTGTGTCCAGTGCCCACAGAAGTCAGAAGAGGGAGGGCATCAGGTCTCCTGGAACTGGGGTTGTGAGAGCTGGGAACCGAAGCTGGGTCCTCAGGAAGAGCAACAACTGCTCTTACCCTGTGAGCCATCTCCCTAGGCTTCTTTTGCCTTTTTGAGAGTGCACATTCCACCTGGAGTCATGTGAGGTCCCATTGTAACTTGATTAACATTTCCCTGATGATTAGGGCTGTCATTTTGAGTCCAGATGAGGTTGTGTGGTGACACTGCTTGAAAAAAGAAAAGGGGAAAAAGAAGGACCAATGTATAAAAGAGGTGAAGCTATGTCTCAGTGCATAGGAAAGGGGAGGAAAGTCTGTTTTCTTTCTTAAAGTCATTCTGTAGAATTAATATCCACCTCCTTGTAAGCAGCAGGAGGGGCTAGTAACGCTTCTGGCCAGCATTTTATAAGCCACGTCTTACTGTTCTGGCCTTGTCTTGCCTACACTGCTCTTAGGAAGATAGCCGTCGATCCATGCAGTGACACCACCCATCACGATCACTCACGAGAAGAATGCAGAGATAATGTTTTATGATTTAACTTCAATTCTATACTCTCTTCAGTACTGATGCCTAATGCCAAAGAGTTTACAGAACTCTCAGGAACTGGAGTTTGGACTTTTGTGTAGGTGATCTAACAGACAAGGGCACAGGGGGCAGCCAACCCCAGGCCTGTTTCCTAGAATGAGAGGATGTGCCCGAGAGCTGGAAACCCTTTGGGAACTGTGGGCTCCCGAGGTGTGAGATGGTGCCTCTCTCTCAGGCCTTCTCAGACGTGGTGACAGTACTTTCAGACCTGAGGCCTTGGCTAGGCAGCTGAGGCAAATGCTCCAGAGAGACTGAAGTGTGCATGGTCCTATTGTGTCATATGTTCTAACAAAATAAACCCTGTCATTATTGCTAGGCGCTTTTGTTATGGATCCTACTGTTAGCAGTTGCACAGCTGGTTAGAGTAACAGGTGATAATGAGTCAGTATTTGAAATGATGGGGCTCGGCTCGGCTCTTTATGAAATTCTAATTTGTTGTGAGTGGCACAGAACACTTCATTTAAATCATCCTGTTTATGCAAGAAGTCATCTATTAAATAAAGATGGTGTTAGCAATTTTTAAATCAGTAGTTTGAGACAGCTTTACATTTTGTTTGTGGACCAAAAAGATTTAGGTGCTTGGGTTAAATATTTTTAGCAGTTCCCCATACTCTACTCTAGATACGTTATGTCTGTGATTGCTTACCATTGATACTTACTAGCCTGGTTGTTTTTAAACTATGTCATCTTAAGTAAGCACTCAGTCTTACATGTGGGTCCTCGGGCTGCCTGATGTTAGTGGTGGTATTTCAGGGGACTGAATTACACACAAAAGCAAATGTGTAGTTGGTTTCTACTCAAATATAGTTCCCATCAGAAAGGTAGGAGAGATTGTCCTTCATGCATGAAAACTTATTTTAAAATAGCCATTTACCAATTTGGTAAGCTTGGGGCGGGGCAGCGCTAACGCTTCTTTTATTAACATCAAAAACGAAGTATTTGCATTTTTCCATTCCAGTGTAAAACCTGTTCTGAGCCAAAACAGATAACCAGTTCTTCTGCCATCTGTGACAACCCTAAACTTATAAAACCTGTCCCCGTGAGACCCAGCAGCAGCCAGAGGCTGCAAGAGCCCACCCCCAGCAAGGTAGGAATCCTCTGATTTTTGTTTGAGCTTCTTTTTAAAAAAAAAAATTATTTTTGAAATTCAAGTATAATTACATAATTCCCCTCTCCTTTCCTCCCTCCAGCCCTTCTCTCATAAGCTTTCCTTGCTTTCTCACTCATGGCCTCTATTTCCTTAACTCTTAAATATTATATATTCCTAAATATATAAGTACAACTTGTCCAGTCCAAGCTATCTGTTATGTACATGTATACAAGGTTACCCGTATGTACACGCTGTCAGGGTGGTCATTTGGCGTCAGATAGCCAGTTGGTATGCTCTTCCCTGGGGAAGACTGTGTCTCCTGCTCTCGTATCTCCTCATTTGCCATAATTGTCTGTCCAGGAGTGAGGCCTCATGGGACCGCCCCTCCCATGCCAGCCTGCCTTCTGTTCATGTCATGCCAGTCTATTCACCATGGCTTGGGAGTGAAAACATCCTGCATGACGAGTAGATAATACAGGTGTGGTGCATGTTCACTGTGGAGTACGAGTCAGCTGTAAAGGAAAATGAAGTCATGAAGTCTGTAGGCAAATGGGGAGAACTGGAAAAGGTAGTACTGACCAAGGTGGGCCAGACCCAGAAAGACAAACGTCACACGGTCTCTCACGGAGGCTCCCAGCTCCAGATCTCACAGTCTGAGCATGGAACCTGGAGTGACTACAGACCAGGAAACCCTCTGCCTTTATCTGTGGCCTCTCTGGGGTTCTCAAAGAGCTTCGCCTGTGCACTGCAGGGGAAGGCCTGCCAGCACTGAAGGACACAGAAGGTCAGTGGACAAAGGCAGGGTCTTGCTGCACTGTTCATCTGTACTGTGTAGCACTGACACTCCTCCTGGGTACTGTCACACTTATTATGTGCTGTGCTCATGGCTCATGACAAGTGTCAGTGGGCCCAGAATCATAAGCCACTGAGTCTCTGTTCTTACTAAGATGAGTGACTTCCCAGGCCACTGGAGGAGGAGCCATCCTGGCAGCACAATACGATGTAACAGTTCTGAGCACTGCTCTGTACCAAGAGCAATGACAGGCACCGCGTGCAGCTTGGAGTACCTGCTCTGGGTTAGCTCTGGGCCAGGGAGTAGTGTAAGCCCCACAGGCCTGTGGTGGTGTATGTGCTGTGTGCTATTTAGAACAGTACAGCAGAGACAAAATTCGCTGATTAGCAGGGCCTGTTATTGATTGTAAAGGAAATATGCCTGTTCTTTCATCAAAGTTATTCCTAAGTAAAGAGGTATTTTTCAAGGAATTGAGTTAAATAAGTTCCAAAACTGAGCGTGAGCCGAAAGCTATAAAATGACTGACTAATGTAAATCATGTTTTAAATTCTTAAAAAATAAGGAAGTATCCATGAGAATGTTTTATTTTATTTTCGTAGGGAAGCCAGGTAGCTTTAGAACGGAGCTTGTGTCTCAAGCAGAGTGTGCAGAAAGAGGAAGGGTTCGGGGACAAGAGGGCGGGGGCAGTGCGGCAGGCCATGGCAGTGTGTACACCTGGTCCTTGCACCTCAGATTAAAATACCCATTTCTTTCTAACCTTGGCTTTCTACATTTCTGTGGAAGGCAGCCAAGAACCTGTGCTCCTACATTCTTCTATTTTCAGCATGTCTTGTTCTCAGCATCCCTAGATGGACCCTGGCTGTTGAGACGGGTTACCATGAAGACGTGCAATCTTCTACTGTAGAGTATAATTTTACACCCTGATCTGTGAGCTGCAGACCCCTCAGGATCACATGCAGGTTTTATTAGCAGACCTGATACTGTGGTATAGCAGCAGTCCTGGGGGCAGGGAGGGGAGGATGCTGTGAAGATGTTAGACATTTCAAAGGTCTCAGGCTTTCCAAGGTAATAAATTTCACCTCTGTCACTGATCCTTTGTGAATAGAAGAAGCCATCAGTTAGCTGAGTTATGCTTCACAGCCTCCCCCTCCGAGAACTAAACTATGTGAACCTATTTTGGGATATCTTTTTTTCCCCAGACCTTGGACCCTGAGCCTCAACACTTGTCTTTGACAGCACTATTTGGGAAACAAGACAAAGCTCCTCATCAGGAAACTGTGAAACCCTCCCGGACCTTTGTCCACTACCATCACCATCACCACCACCACCAGCAGCAAGAGAAGCTTCCAGTTCATCACGGGGTTGCATGCTCCCTGTCCTGTGAGGAGCCCAGAAAGCTCTCACTCCCAGTAGAGAAGCAACTCTGCCCAGCCATTCAGAAACTCATGGTCGGGAGCACAGGGTTACACTCCTTGCCTCAGCACCCTGAACAGTGGCCCTGTGAAAGTGGCAGCCCCAGTCCTGTCCAGCTGGGGTCCCCCTGGAATGGTAGGGCTGCACACTGCACACAGAGCACTTGCAGAAGCCACAAACTATTAGAGCAGCTCCAAGGTGCCTCTGGGGCAGTGCATAAATATAACCCCTATACACCTGCCAGTCCGGCTGTGGCCACTCAGGTGGCTCCAGGCCAGAGTGTGGCCCAGTCACACCTGGTGTATTTCAGTGACCCCCTTCCACCTCCCACACCAGGGCATCATGCTCTCAGGAAGGAGCAGGGTACACTCCCAGCACAAGCAGTGCCACTGTCTGGCAGCCAGGAGAGCAGCTCCACTGTTCTCCCTACTCAGGAGCTACTAAGAAAGCTCCAGGTAGTACAGCAGGAGCAGCAGGCGGCCCCCCGGCCAGCCTTGGCAGCCAGGTTCCCTGTGTCAGCCCAGGGATCAGGGACAGAAAAGCCCTTGGAAGCCTGGGTCAGCAAGACAGCCAGCATGGAGAAACAGGCTCCTCTTCTGCAGGTAAATATGTACTGGGGAAAGCTACTCTAGTAAAGCAGTGGACTCTGCAGTGGCTGCTGTGCTTCAGGGAACAGGCGTCACGTGGGTCTCCATTCAAACAGCTACACAAAGCCCCCAGGGCCTCTGGCTCTCACCTTGTCTTTTTGCTGGGATAGAGAAGCTTCTGTGTGCTTACAGTCTGCCTGCTGTTCCTCTGCCATTTAGAGGTAGTTTGTTTGTGGAGGTAACTCTTGATCGTGTCATAAGGCCTGAAGACCAGTCCAGATGTGGGAAAACACCTAGTCTTTGAGTATGAAGACCCAGGGCAGTTGTCTCTAACATTTTGGGATGTCAACATCTGGCTGAACCCTGGTTTTCGCCCTATGGCTGATGATTGCTTGCTCCTTGGCTCCGTGTATGATTTTGAGTGCTTCCTGCACGTTAGTAGCCACTTTTCTACACAGCCAACAGTCTTGTAGGTTCTTGAAGTAAACAGAAATACCAGTAAAGATACTATTGTTTTTATTGCCTTCTAGGTGAACAATATTATGAAGACCAGGCAGGAACAAGTGTACCACCCACAAACTGCCAGAGAAGGGAACATAGTGTAATTGCTAGGAATAGTGTATCTTTCTGGGAGGATAGTTGTCTGCACCCATCAGCTACTGGTGTAGTGAGCCAGGATCTGTTGACCGGCTGCCTCTAACGGCATCTGAAGGTCTGACCAGGTCTGTTTCCCTTAGATTGCACAGAGTGGCTGAAAACATGCTGCCTTTAAAGATTGGAAAGTTCCCCCTTCTTATTTATTTATATTTCATTTTATTTATTTAAAACTGTTGGTCTTGGTGACTTGCTTTATCACATAGCTCAGAGTAGGTCCTTAGAAATCATTCACGTTGTTTAAAACAAAGGCCTTGGGCATATACTGTACATGTTTAGGTGTCTGGACATGTCAGGGAGTTCTTTTTTATTAAATCCCAGATGTGAGTGCCTTCTGTTGGAAGCTGAGGCATTGTCCCCTCTCTTACTGTGAGGCAGTATTGATTCCCTTTTTAAATGTCTGCTTTTCATTTCTCTTTGTTGATTTGGAATCAGAAAATCAGGGTTAATAATCAGACTTAAATGTCTACATATACAATTCTCTTTGTTTTCAGTTCTCACAAATGCCAGGGACCAAATAAGGAAAGTGTGCATTCTGTCAGCCCACGCTGTGCTCTTCTTGCCGCTGGGACTCCTCCCTTTCGGAGCATCAGCCCTCAACACCTCTCCTTGGGAGATCAAATAGGGAACACTAAGAGAAACAACAGCCTGCCTTCCTCTAGGCCATTTTCTGCCCCCAAAGATGCCAAGGGAATGATGATGAAATTATAGCCAGTTCTAAACTGCTGTGTCTCCACTTCCTTCTCGTGAGTTTTAGAGTACTTTGAGGCTGAGAAGTAAGATACCTTTGTGTTACCTGAGTTAGAGACACATGGCAGCTGTAGGAGTCAGTCAGACCCAGTTCAGAATGTCACTTGTGTAATTGGGAAAGCCATTTGAAAACTTGGTTTTAGACCTGCCAGCCAAGGGATTAGGTAGACCAGCAGACAGATGGGTCACAGTGTTCCACGTGCCCAGACCTTCCTTTTTATCCCAGGATCTACCCTCACCCTCATCCATGACAGCCAGGAGAAGCAGAAGGCATGTTCTCTGTGGATACTTATCTATAGAAGGAACAGAAGGAGCAAATGCACAAATCACAGTCCCTCCTAGTGACGGGGGGGTGGGGGGGGTGTCTCCTTGAAGAGCCAGGGTTAGGATCTGTGTGTGCATCTAACAAGCTTGCAGGGCATGCTTGTGCTTCCTAAGGTAAGCCAGCAATCCTAAGTGTACGTTGCCTGAAAACTAAACTCTCGGCCAGGGGCTTAGTTTCAGGCACAGAGGTCGTGACATCAGCAGGTGATTCCAGAGCTATGTAACAACCTCTCAGGAAAGTACCGAGGGTAGAACAGGAATAGACCTGCCAGCCTTTCCCACCCATGGCATCTGGGGCTGTTTCTACTGAGCACCCCACTACCACCATTGTGAACATGGCCCTTCATCTTGGGCGCTATGCTTTGTGAGTTGCTTCCTAACCCTGCCTTGTGTCTGTCTTTGCTGTGAGCAGACCTGTCTTATCTCAGTGTGTCCCTGCTGCAGTGGCTTCTCTGCTCATGCCCCCTGTGGTTTTCACACAGTCTGCCTGTGCCCCACTGAGGGAGACTGATAATGGGTTCATGGCCCTAGGAGGCCAAGAACTTCCTGCTGCCTCCTCCAGCCTCCTTCTGCCCCTGCAGAACTGGGAATCTTCCACCATGGCCAGCAGGCCCCTAACCAGGCTGCAGCTCCAGGAAGCACTGCTGAGCCTCATCCAGGTAAGACTGTTGACCCAACAGTGGGCACCAGGACAGAGTGAGTTGTCTGATGCCTACTTTGGACTCCAGAGTGCCACCACCTCCCCCAACAACTTCTAAACTCAGTTAACTGGATGATACTTAGAATACTGCTTGTGGCCTGAGATATCTCAAACCTTCAAGAGATTTGTGACTTAGAGGAATGAGTAAGACCTCCTAGGTGCCAGCAGCCAGAAAGGAAGGGACCATGTGATGAAGGATCAGCCAGCCAAGGCACTCTGGGAGTTCACTATTAGGAATAGTCATAGAGCCATCTTGGGCAAACTGCCGTCTTAAGCTGTACCAGCTATGACTACTGTGAGCACAGTTCAGCTATGGTTTTGAAACCTGCTGCTGAGAACAGGGTGGAATGATAGGATGCCTCGTCAGCCCTGCCTTGAGTGTCTCTGCTGTTCTGTGTGGTAACTCACAGCGAACTGTGCCATGTACCATTTTAAGTTTAATACTGCTTACAGGAAACCCTCTTCTAGGGGCCAACGAGGTCAGGTAAAGGTGCTTGCCACCAAGCCTGATGACCCACATAATGGAAGAAGAGATTCCCAAGTGTTGTCTTCTTACTGTGTGTGCATCATGGCATAGCCACACCTGCACACACACACACACACAGATACATATACATATACACAGTCACACAAAATAAATCCATAAAATAACAATTAAGACCCTCTTATTTGTCTAATTCCACAGACAAGGAAACTGAGGCTTGTGTTTGGTCTTGTGTTACACTGAGCCTGTCTGCCGTACTCCCGTCTCCTCTTGAGTGGACCTTATAAATTAATGTTCCGTTGTATAGCAGAGCACACTCCCAAGTGAATGATAGACCTTAGACAGGGTAGTGTCCACACAGAAGCAGACACATCAACTAATGTGTTTAGGAATCCTTGTAGGCTGTCTTGAAGGTGTCTGTAGGCTCTGTGTAACCATCAGACAGCCGTGGGGAGCAGGCTAGCCTTGGTATTTCTGGTTCTCCAGTTGCTGTTGAATCCCTATTACTGAAAACATTTCCAAGATAGCATGTTTTAGAAAGAACAAAAAGGATGGGACTGGAAATGAGCATCTGTTTGGAAGGAGAACGCAGTCTACGATGATTGAGCCTTCCCAGTTTAATTACGTCACTAAGCTTAAATATGCACTGAGATAGACACTCATAGATAAGATAGCCTATGCATGGTAAGTTCATGAGAATTCAGAACAAATGCCTGCAAATCTCTTTATTAGAACAATAAAGAAAATGTAAACATAAGTGTAGATTTTAACGATTGTTCCTTTTCTTGGCTCATTCCCCTCTGGTTACATTACCCAGGGCTGTATGTTGTGACAGCCATTCAATCCTGTGCCCTCTTGTCTCTGTGTGCGTTTCACACTTCTCTATGGTGTCGATTTGGTACTGCTAAAAGTGACTGGGGCATCTTTGTAGGAAAGTCAGGAATAATTGCTTTGTCTGTAGTTTGAGCATGCCACTGACTGTGGTGTGGAGAGGGAATAAGTCAGAGAGGGCAAAACATGGCTGAGTGCAGAAGCTTCATTGCATCTGAGTGGGAGGGGAAAGCCTCTAGCACTCGTCAAGAACAGCACTGCTTAGACCCAGAGTTCCCTTCCCTCCTAACTCAGACAGAAGAGCTCAGAGACTCCCTATCTACTGCTGTTCATTTGCAGACCGGAGACTTCCCGCAGGGCATGGGAAGAACCATGCTGGCTTTGGGAAAGTACCAATGACCCATGCTGTGGGTAAACTCCCAGTGAGTGCCTGAAGCAGTAGTGCACAGCATTCCTGGCAGCCTGGAGGGGGTTTAGGAAGGACCATCCAACTCGCCAGCTCATACTCTATGGTCTAGACACTATGGTTCCTTCCTCCTGGCCTATCCTGCACACAGCTCAGCTGTATTCCATGTGGCAGGGCTGCTGGCTGTGCTGGGTATTCTGAGCACATGGCCTTCACATATGGACAATGAAATCGGGCAGCTCTGCCCAGCCTTGCCTCCAGTCCCTTTATGTCCCCAGACACAGGCCAGCCTACCCTGTCAGCTCAAACAGCAGAGGTGGGTGGCCAGCTCAGCTCCAGGCAGGCAGGAAATCTTGGCTTTTGCTACTCAAGTAATGGTCCCTGGGCCTATTGGCTTTGTTTTGCAGAATGATGACAACTTCTTAAGCATAATCTATGAAGCCTATCTCTTCAGTGTGACACAAGCAGCCATGAGGAAAGCCTCGTAACCAGCTACATGAAAGCAAAGACTGAGAATTGATTTTCCAGGTTCTTCATGTGAACTGGTGTGACCAAACACATTTATGCCTTTTTAACAAAATATACTGATTCAGAGTAAAATGTTTTGTACTATCTGACGTCTGGGGGTTTTGTTCCTTAATTTTGACAAATCACACCCTCCCATTTCCTTGGTACTACAAATTGAGTAGGTAGATGGTTTTGCCCAGGTCATATAAGATGAGATTTTTCCTCCATTTATGAAGCCATTTTAAGAAGAGTTGGGTTCTTCATGAGAAGGGATGATCTCAGAGCTGTTTATTAATAGAATAGCTCAGGGTAGAGAACGCAATTTCCTAGTGTTGGGCTCTGTGTGCCATGGTGCTTGATAACCACCAGGGGGCAGTATTATCCCACAAGTTACCTACTAAAGGTTTCATTTGGTTTTGGAAGCAATGGGGACTTTTCTTTAGCAAAGTCAGCCTTTTATTTGTAAAGCTCCATTCGGCATATTTGACCTGAGCCTTTGCGGGGAAAGTTTTTCTGAAGACATTTCTTGCCAGGTCTAGTAGGTAATCATTCTAAACGGCCCAGGCTTGAATCAACACTCCATTTCTCAATTTAAGTTGGGGCCCAAACAGCCAGCCCTGGCTTTCAGGCAGACACAGTTAGAAAATGTGCATGAGAATGGGTGGTGGCTCTTCAGGGGCAGAAGGTCAGAGATTCTCCAAGTTCTGTAGAGCTCGCTGCTGTGTCCTGTGCAGAGATAAGAAACGTAATCCTAAAGAGAGACAGACAGCAGAGCCGCCTTGCATTCCCCAAACAGTGCGTGTGGGAATCGGCCCTGCTGAGTACTCACAATGAATAAAGCTTTGTGGTTTTACTGTCCTAGTTATTCCTGGATCATAAAAAGATCTTTGGAAGGGAGAGAGGAAGCAACATGGAGGAAGATGAATGGATCTCTAGCAGTCCCCGGTAGCAATTTCTATCGAAAGGTTAGATATTCGGTAACAATTCTAATTGGTTGGGCATCTTGTGTATTGAGCATTTCCAAATAATTAAATCCATTGGACAATCTTTACAAAAAAAAAAAATCTTTGAGTTAGTGCTTTGTAGTTGAATCTTATTCTTTCTGTGGAGAATTTAAAATGGAGGCTGGGGTCGGGGGCAGGTTTCCTTACAGCTGCTGATCCGGACCAGGAAGCTTCTGACCTTTTTTCCTCCCTCCTAGCAGCAGCATGGGGCTGCTGGGACACCACCCTTAGGAAGGTGTGCTTTCCCCCAGGAGGAAAGCTGGCTGAAAAGGGGTTGGCTTCTGCTCATCCTCAAAGCACACTGTGCATCGGCTGCGTTGGCCTCTGGAAGGGGGGGGGTGCCTCCCACACCATCCAGTACTGTTGTGAACTCATCCAAATCTCTCAAATGCTAGACAGTAAGTATACACACACAATAATATATACTATATATTAAATATAGTCTTATAAGAAGAATAGGGCAAGAGATATCCAGGGTCCTGTGGTCCTGAACCAGGGAAAAGTGTCACTTTCCAGTGTGTTCACTAAAACTGGAGCAACAGTAGGCTAGGGTGTACCTCCATGGTAGAGCACTCGCCTAACACACAGGCTCTTGGTTCAATCCCTAGAACTTTAAAAAAAAAAATGTTATTTGGCCAATGGCCAATCTTTAAAAATAATCTGTGAGGGCTGGGAATGTGATTTGGTATAAAAATAAATAAAAAGTAAAATAATAGAAAACTTTTAAAACTCTATACTTGCATGTTTAAAGTTCCTTCTGTGGCTAGGAAAAGATAAATTTCATTCTTAACATTTCTAATATATTTGAGGCAATGAATGGCTTCATTTCATAAAAGTTTCCCTTTCTTCACATGAATAAGTAAAACAGCCGCCCCAGCCACCCAGAAGAGCAAGCCAGGACCACAAGGTCAGAGGACACAGCCTTTTCAGGCCGATGTGACAGTGATCTGTTGTGACAAAAACAGCACGTTCCTCATCATCCACTGCAGTGAGTCATCTTAAAGGCAATGGGCAGATTCATTTAGACCAAATATGACCACCTGCAGGACAGTCAGGGTGGATGACCCCCTGCAGGACAGTCAGGGTGGGTGGCCACCTACAGGACAGTCAGGGTGGATGGCCACCTGCAGGACAGTCAGGGTGGATAGCCACCTGCAGTACAGTCAGGGTGGATGGCCACCTGCAGGACAGTCATGGTGTGTACCGCCTCACCTCAGCAGGTGCTTCTCCTGAGGACATAGGGAGAGACAGATCCGAGGGGTTTTCTACACCCTCAGGACAGAACTTCCTATGTAAATTAACACTTCATCTTCCCATGCTCCTCTCTTCAAATTCAGGATGTCAGCCCTCACTTCAGGGTCTCTGCCCCAGCAGCAGTTTTAATCTCCTTGAATTTGAGGGCTGGGGGCGGGGGGTGGAGACTGTGGCTAAAGGCAGCTCCATCCAGTTCAATGAGTGTCACCTTACAGAGCCAAGGGAGTAGAAGGTGGAGCCTGAGTGGAAGGAGGAGTAGAAACAAGCAAGAGCTGAGAATAGAGCAAAAGGCTACAGAACACCAGCCATTCACTCACAGCTAAAGGTACCTGCAGGGACCCACACAAGCCTTCCTATCATGGAAGAAGCTCATGGGCCCCACCCTTTACCCCAAAATAATAGCTGTAATTGGTAGGCTTTGGGAGAGGTGAACCACTTTGGTTGTCTTTAGATGTGTACCCATTGCTGAGCCCACCAGATTCCAACAGGTAGTTCCAAATCCACAGGCACACAAAATGGCCCTGTGATTTCCATGAGTCACAAAGCAGTGAATAAAAAGGACATGGATTTGTGTGGGAAAGGGTTGACAGGGATGATAGGAGGGCGGGGTAAGAGTGGCTGGTGTACATAGCTTACATGTGTGAAATTATCTAAAAGCAAATTTAATTCATAAAAAGAGAGATCCTAGTACATAAAGTATAGAAAATTTACTGTTAAAAAGAGAGGAAGGCCCAGGGCAAAGCTGCCCCAGGCTGGAGAAGCTACCTAAGGGCACGAATTGTTGGTGGTGTTCTGCTTTTGTGCACTGGGACAACTCTTTTTGACAAATTAGAAGACAGCGTGCTTCTCCTCAGCAAACCCCAGTCGTGAGTAATTTAGCCATCCTGTTCTCTCTCTGTTTCTGTTAAAGAGAAACCATGGGTTCTGTAGTTGGGTTGTTTGCCTGGGCCCCCTGAGTGGTTCTAAGGATGGGAAGGGTACATAGGAAACAAGCACCCAGGCCCAGTCTTTGTTGCCTTCAGCCATCAGCCAGTTCAGGTGCAGATAAGACAAGTCTGACTGGAGTGCTGGGGTGACACAGAGGACTGAGGTCTCCAGGTCATGTGACCAAACCCACTGCTCACTCACCTGCAGCAAAGAAGTCTCCCCCACAACACCACCACCAGCACCCCAAATAACGTCTGCTTCATCTAGACATGGCCTCTTTCCCTGTTTTCAGAGGAGTCAGCTTGCTTCCCAGCTTTGGAGTATTGAGTCATCCTTAAGGTTAATTTCTCATCTGCAGCCTGCCGGCTGTAGCCATGCTTTGTCATGTGAAGTTGGCTGGCTGCACATATTGGTGAGCTTCCCTGGTGTAACTTGCAGATTGTGAATGCTTGGCACCCTAACCCTCTTACAATTGGGGAGCGATAGTGGTGGTTACAGATTCTTGGTATGTTTAACCCAACCTTGCTTATCCAGACAGATTTGCACCAAATTTAGTTCTGAATAATATCTTCCAACAGCTTAGGGCTCCATGAAAAGTACACAAATAAAAACCGTGTGTGCAGACTGTGGTCTTAAAACACCAGCAGGGAAAGGAAAAGCAAATTGCTGTTGGTAATGAGTGATCTCCAAGGGCCAGGCAGACAGCACAGGGGAGAAGGGCTCTGAGGCAGCTCCTAATGAAGCTTAGGCTGAGTCCAGAGCTGCTGCAGACGGAAGTGCACAGAATTCAAAGCCTGGCAAGTGGACTAGAGCATGGCAGGATGGAAGTAAAG